AAACATTTGTTTATACACCTATAATGCACAAATCATATTTTATAGTGTAGTCAGTTGATGTCAGCCTGTCGAATGAGAGAGAGAGAGAGAAAGAGGCGCGACCTCGATTTTCATCAAAATTGATGTTCATCTGTAACATGTTCGATGGTTCATCATCGATAATTCTTAAGATACGGTGATAGAACTCAAAGTATATTATGCACCTCTTGCTATATATGATAAAGGTGACAACTATCGCTTTTCACGTGTGTGACTATATGTATGGGGAAAGGATGCAAGAATGTTATTATTCTTTAGACAATTTAAGTGGTTACAAATCGATATCACACCTTAGGTCATATATGAGAAATACAACGTGTGAGAATTTATCTTATTTAAACATATGGTATATGTACAAATCGTAACTCTGTTACACACAGTTTGTCATACACACTAACAACTGTTATTAAACATTTATCATTGCAGAAAAAGAGATTAAAAAACATATCTTTTCATCCATAGAATCTTTTGTTTTCGTATTGCTCTTTACAGTTTTTTAACATAACAAAGCAGCTCATTTTCATTCTCATCCAAAATTAATTGGACGAAAAAAATTTTGTTCAATACATTCTCATAAAAGTCTTATCGTGGTGAGCGTTTACATTCTTCGAGTGTTTCTTATCATTTCAACTTTGTTTGTCTTTTCAAGCTACTAAAATATTGTTTGCTTATGAGAGAAAGAGGGAGAATTTTATATTTCATTACATGGTCAATACTCTTATGAAAGCATGAGGAAAAAGAAGACATGAGAGAAAATTTTCTAGGACAAATGTCTTTACACTTGGCTATATCATTCTATTACAAGGTTGTATCGCTTTACTATAGAGCAATCTCGCTATTCTAACCTGTGCTGTTATTCCCTATGATCAATGAATGATCATTGAACTACACAACTTCATTATTAGTAGCATAGTAGTTATTACTTTCGAAGATTGAGATTTCTAACTTGATGTTGCTTTCTACTTTCAACTTTGAAATCACTTGAAAATATTGATGTTAGAGAAAAGTAGAGTATGGTCGATCGAACAAATATATCTTTATTTACTTCTCTGTTTTTTTTTTGTCACGAGGCAAATAAAATTAAACTGCGTCCTATATAGAGATGTATATTATGTTATTGCTGTAGTACTGAAAATTGGTTTAAAACTTGAGCAAGATTTTTCTCTCTATTTGTATTTTATATTTAATGATCATTGTTCAGTTTGTCTGTATATGGTAAATAGACGATGTATTCAGTTTTATATACACAAATGTAAAATTATATATTCTTTTAAGATTAATATTCAAAAGATCATGTTAGTAATCATATGGTTTGAAAGAGAGACTGATGATTATTGTTTTCATATTATCCATATGAAAGTTACTGACACTTTAAATTAATAAAAATGTTCAGAGATATGAAAGATCTGGATTATATATCTAAATCATACATCTTAATAAGATAAAAGTAGAAACACAATGTATTAAATGATACAGTAGTAACGTTTTACTTGTTAGAAGAGACAAAAAGTCAGAAGGCACATCAACTTTAAAGACCATAAACATGATCTATAGCACGAGGAAGTACTGCCTGGTATATCATATCTTTCAAAAAGTAGTTTTCTTACAACAAACGTTTTCGACTTTAGTTATCTAAATTAGAAGAAATCTTTTCATATTTCTTTACCTACTAAACCCTACCGTGATAAAAAAAGATGCCAGAAAGTATCATAAAAAATTGATTTTGATTAATTCTTTGTTGCCAACAAGCACCGTATCTCATATTAGACTTCTTCCTAGGAATTGTATAAAACTAAATAATTCAATGATATTTATATACAATCGGAATATATTTCAACCTAACATAAAATTCTCTCTATGTGCTCCTATTTGTACTTGTATGGATTAGACTTTATTTTTCTTTTCTTTTCCTCTAACATAATTGTATATGAATAGGTTTATAATAAAATTTTCTTGTGTATTGTAAATAATATCTACAAACTTATTGTCGTTGTCGTTATTGAAAGGAATCTTTTAAAATATTTTTTCTTCTTGTTAATATTGTATGAACAACAACGTGCTAATGCTCAGCAACTTTACATTACTTCACAGGATCTTTTTTCTCTCATTTTTTTTTTCTGTTAATCAATACAAATGCTATTAATCTATTTTAGTGCAAGCAAATAAGTTTCTTCTTTTTTGACATATTTTAATTAAATGAATCTACTTAACTAAATATCTTTTAAACTTCAATGAAAAGATACTCAGAAGATTATCATACAAAAAGTTACAGAAACTCCCATCCAATGGTTTACAAATGTTTCCACAAATAAATAATTATTTATCAACCATTTTTTAGAGTTTTATGCTCATAGTATTATCGGTGACAGTAGTTTAAATATTATACCTCTAAAACAAATGTACTACTGTCTTTGTTTTTGCCAAAGTGAAAGCTGTTTGCGTTGTCTTGTGGTGGTATGGCAAATGTATAAACAGACATGATGACAATTTACATGCCATGTCACTTGCTGATAAAGAAACAATAAAAGTTATCTGTGTACCGTTTTTTATGTCATTTGATTGCGCTATGATAAGAGATAATCAAACAGACATTCACATTAATTTAGCTGAAAAGAAAAAAATATTGCCACAAAACAATCAGCAGCTAAGACAGAAAATACCGAACTATGTAGTATTAAACATCAGCAATAACAACAACAACCAATATGTAGAAATCTAGGAACATATTGCCATTTTTTGTAATATCATGTGTCAAAACAATTTGGGATAATATTGTCCGTTTCCAAAGCGATATTACTCGGGTTAAGACATGATAGAAAAAGTTATCATCAGTATGCATCTTCTTATGTGTTCTTTTAGGTGTAATCCGTGTGATATACCCAAGCAAAACCTGCCTAGCAAAAATATCTAGATGGATCGAGCGATGCTAGCTGCTTTTTTTGTGCTTGGGTAGTAGTGTGGATTACTGTGTTTGACATTTGAAAATTTTATGGTATTTTAAGCAAATAAAGGCATTTTTAATCAAAGAAAGACAACGATAGGAAACAGGTGGATAGATGACTTTCCAATATTTATTTTCTGATCTAAAACTTTTTGTTTTGAAAAATCCATCAGCGTTTATAGGTGATCATAAATTTCATTAAAGCTTTCTCTAGTTTGTAGAAGTAGTCATTGGTAGTATGTATCAACTACATAAAATAAACTAACGTAGTATTTCTCAAAAATCTATTTTAATACTCCTAAACAATAAAGTACAATTCTGAACAAATAGGATCAAATATGCGGAAATCGCCAAAATCTGATTAAAAATAGTCAATATTCTATACCCAGTTGAGATATGAATATAAAAATGATCCCTATGATCAATACTCGCTGGATATGAACTAGTATCGACAACGATTTTGAATAACCTTTTTTTCTTGCTGTAAATCCTATTATATCTCGTGAAATATGATTAAAATTTGATAATATAGTTCAATTATCGATTAGTTATGATCATATGATTAGATATGTTTTTCCTCTTCTTTAAGAACATATTTATCGAGAACAAAAAGATATTAATCATGATAAATGTGATCTTTGTGTATCTTTCTTTTCCACAAAATTTGTTAATATCATGCTTTTTTGTACGATACAGTTGTTTCTTTTTCTCTAATTTGTGTGACCTCGACTAAATTGTCACAGATTTTTATACACACCTTATAGATAACTGATAAATTTTTATTATGTCTTTATAATCATATATAGTCGGTGATCGATGAGTATACTGTTAAATTAGCAAATAAAAAACGCTATTTTTAGGTTACCTTCGACTTACAGTGCTTTTTTCACCAAACTGATGCTGATAGAAGCTCATCATGTAGATAGATTGTGATAAAAATTGCAGCTCAAAATGTAGAATCCTTCAGAAAGCGGAAAATAAAGTCTGTGACAGTTTTTGTGAAAGTGGATACAAAAATCTGTAAACTCGTATTTCACTTTTAGAATATCTTACTGGTACTAGAAATGTGCAGGATGCTCTTAGGTTATCTTAACTGTCAGTGTCTACTAGGATAGGGCTAGGGCTGACAAAAAGCTCCTTTGCACATCTATAACGGATACGATAAGATGAGCTCTTTCCTCATTTATCGATTTCGCCTTTTCTGACCTATTTTGACATCTATTACGTCTATTAAAGTGAATGGAGATGCCTTCATCAAATTTATGTGTTTAATAAAATTTCGTCATCAATTGAATTACTCAAATATGATTTTGTTTGATATAATTAAATTTTTTTCTCATATTTGCATATTATTGATTGACACTTATCATTATTGAATTTAAGCATTTATCTATTATAAAGTTCAAATAAATGAAAGAAAAACGAAACATCTAATAGCAGATCGCCGCCTCTTCACAATAAATTATGTATTATGGGTTCAAATGTTAAGTTCCTTATCATCATCATCAAGATGAAAGAGTTACGAGTCCTCTCTTCGGATAATTCATAAGTAGCTGTTTGAACGATAACCGTACATAGAGAAATTCTGAACCAAAAAACAGACCAAATAAACAACAATAAATTTTCTTCTACAGGCCTCACCGATGACAGAGAGAGAGAGAGAGAGAGAGAAAGAGAGAACAACTTTTCAAGTATTCGTTTATTAATTTATTATCCTTCATTCACGCTTGATCCTCTTAAAAAATGTTGTGCCCCACTCACAAAATCACCAAGTAGTAGAAATGTCGGCCTGACTACATTTGGTTTCTAAAAAAAAAAATTAGATGTAATATGCATCGGTGTGTGTGATGCAATGTTACGATTAGAGGCTTTAGAAAGAAAAATGATGTATAACAATAAAAAGTAGTTTGATGAGTGTTTAGACTATCTATTATTCTAAGTGCCTTTCTAATAAATCTTGCTGGGCCTATTTTCCGAACAATAACTAACTATCATCATTATTTTGTTGATTTCTTTGTGTATGTATGCGTAAGTAAAAATGACGTATCAATTTTACAAAAAAAACTAGTATGTATACTATAAAAAATAAATGAAGCTTTTAAGACTAATGATGACCGCGTCTATTAGACTATCTTGTCATATCTATAGCCTATATCTCACTATGTCTATTAGAATATTATACCTTTTACGTTTTCAAATATCACATTTCTTCCTTTCTCTCTCTCTCTCACTCGCAATTAATTAAAAAATGAAAATATATTTAGTGTGTATATTTTGCGATCTAATTACAGCACAGACATATATACACACACACAAAAACAAAGTGAAGACTTATCAGTCAGTCAGAGCATATCTATTACAGACACAAAAAGAGAAATAATAATAGAGATATTGAACAAATTGTTGTCCTTCAATATACATCTAACTATATTATTATTATCGATAGTTGATAGACTACCATTGTTCGTCGTTTATACAATAATTTAGTTCAAATTTCTTCTCATAATAATCAAAATGAAGTTCAAAAACATCATTAAGAACATAATACAAAAAATCAAGAACCAAGTTCTACACTAATACATATTTGTATCCTCAATCCCATGATAAATTAGCTAAAAAGAAGTGAAATTGACAAAGTACATGAAAGAGATCGATTCTAAAATCCATTGTTTTGTCGAGTAGTACAATAAAGTCATACTTTGCAGAGAATAATAAAAACCTGATTCAATTTTATGTATCTAACTGTCAACTCTCAAATTAAAGAACATATTTTAAGTAATATTTTTCCTTTTAGAGAATTACAGTTCAATAATTTATCAATAATTCGAAAAGATGATTTCAAATTACTTCGACAATTACGAATATTGTAAGTAAAAAAAAGTTTCTTTATTACTTTTTCTCGTTTCTTTCATCTTATTAACTAATGATAAATATGAATTTTGCTTGTTATAAACAGTCGTCTGTCAAGAAACTAATAAAGGTATAAAGTTGAACTAATCGATTCTCTACAATTTGACAAGGTTAAAAACATTGATGGTGATGAATTCATCAAGGTCAAGTGAGGGTATCGAGAAGTGAGAGAAATTTCTGTTATTAAAAACGAAAAAAAATTATACAGTTTTAAGCGTAGTGTATAAGCGATGTTGAAATGGCCTTCTTGAATTTTGAAAAGAACGTTTCTTTTAAACGGAAATTCGAAGCATTAGTAATTGTTCTTTTCGTTGACAACAAATAGATGTGTTAGAGACAGACACTTGACTCAATGAATGATGAGTAATAAATAGGCATACATTATCACAAAAGAGAATAAGAATCATAGAATATGAACAGAAAATTTAAAAGTTAACTTTTCAATCATTTTTTGATACAGTCGTTAGAATACCATTGAACTAGGCAATAAATTTTGAAATTTTAGCAAAATTTAAGCACAAGTCTAGTGCTTCAGTTTACTGATGGTAGCTAACACGCTTAAAGATAACTCAGATTGTGTTTTTGTATCATTCAATCATTGTATATTAAATAAAAGAAACAAATATATAATCTGAAATCGAGGCATGACTTTCTATAGTAGAGTATAGATTAGAATAATATTTCATATAAAGTATCAACATACTAATGTTTGCTTAAGATTTAAAGATGAGTGAAATGTATTGCAGTGCATGTAATCACAAGGACTAAATAGATGATAAAGCAGAGCGAGAGAGAGAGAGGGGGGGGGGAGGAAAGGAAAGATTTTCGTTTAACCCTTCACAAACTGATAATATTATTATTTTTATTTAGAAATTTACAGGATAATCAAATTCATACGATTGATGGAGAATCATTTCGAGACTTAGTATCATTGGAAAAATTGTAAGTCAGATCTATAGAATTCAATGTTAAATATTCAACATAATATTGCCTTGATTGCCGTTGGTCTTTTCAATGTCCTTCAGACAATAAATTATATTTGCTATTTGTGTTAAACATCAAAAGGCAGTATCCGGTCACATTCTTGTCAATTTTGAATCATATTTTTTTCTATCCATATAGCTGTTTAATGAGAAAATTAAACAATAAGGTTAAAGTACCGTTCACTTCATATGTATATTTCATTGTTCATTTATGAACATTCTATATGTTCAATATATTCATATAGCAACATACAGGAAACGATGTACATATATCATAGTCTTTTAATAAGTTTTGACCGTTGTTGTATTATGAGAAAATTTTCTTCATTAACGAAACAAAGACAAACATTCATAGCCTTTGTACAGCTTGGTCAAATGTCATGGAATTTCATTTTTCAAAATTTGAAACAACGTATCCTTAGATCTTTCTGAATTAAAAGTTGAAAATAGTAGTGTACATGTAACTAGTGAAAATGTGCTCGTGATCAAAATTTCAGATTCTTAGCTCTCATGGCTCGAGGGAAAAAGGGAAAACATCGTTTCATCACGAAATTTCAAACAATGAAAATAGTTCCAATTGTTGGACAGTAAAATTAAAACTTCTTCACCTTCAATTTATTTGTAAGACATCACTTAATTGTCAAATCAAAGCTAGATGCTCAAGAATATCCAAATCATTAGTTATTTCTTCATGGGGCTTCAGACAGAGAGAGAGAGAAAGATGTGGGAAAAGATCTTCGTCATGGAATTCGATCTTTTTTTAGAGATTTTCTATTATGAAAGCTGATGTCTTAGTTTTTTGATAGTTAAATTTTATTCTAAGTCCACGAGTGTTCTGAACCCCAGGGAGTCCGGAAAGAATTGAAAATTTTTTGAAGTTTCAAAAACTTGAAGAAAACGAGCAATCACAAAGATTTTTTCACTTTTTCGCAACAAATCGTTAGAACTTCATAAAATGCCTTTCTTGGTGCTTAAAATTTCAAAAAGAAAATATTACCGTCTGAAGAGATTTAAATTCTTTATCAAGCTGTGTGGTCTTTAAAATTTTGCACCAAACTTTATTTTACATTTATGAAATTTCAGATAAAATTTTTATTAGAAAATGAAGTCAATATTTGTAATCAACGTTAAAAGCGGCGTCGTGTATGTTTAAGGCTGATCTGAGTGAAAACATTTCGCATATAGGTGCACTGTTCGCTAATCAAATCCCAGAGTGTCAATCAGATATGTCAGACAAATTTGTCATATGACCAGGATCCTGCTGTCCTTACGATTATGTTTAGTTTTTTTCTAACTTTATGTTATTTGAACTATTAATGTGTCAAATATTGTTACATTGAAAATTCACAGCTGTACATTGTGCTTTTTATTGTTCTAGTTCATTAAGTAGACTTTCTTCTTGAGATCTTTCCTGTTAAATTGATCAGAATATATATATTAGGCAACATCTGTTCTCTCAGTATTTTTCCTTCTAAACCTTGATAAAATATGTTAACAATTCATGATATTGAGGTTAGAACAATAAATTATCAATTGATGATCAAAATACTTTCTCTAATAACACTAGCTGATCAACTATTATAGTATATAAATTATGTTCTTCAGGATGTATTCAACTATATTATTAAATGTAAAATTGAAATTATAGTTATTTGTAAAATGTACTTTTCTTCTCAGGCAATCTACATACGTATATACATATAGTTCGGTTCATCGAACATATAATTGATATTACATTCATTGTACCTATCTTGTATAATTATTATCATCATCAATATATAACTATAACTATCGTTTTACGATAGTTTTCTTTATTCAAACTAAATACATATGTCAGACTTATTTAGTAGAATTCCAGACACAATTTTATTGTTTATATATTTATTTTAGACGATTAAACAGCAATAAACTAAATCATATTCTTGATGGAACATTTTCAGCTCTTAAACAACTTCAAAGACTGTAAGCGAATGCGATTATGAACAAATATTTACTAGAGATTAATCAAGATTTCTGTTATATTTGATGATTAGGGATCTCAGTTCAAATCGTTTACGAGCCGTTAATCAAGGAATGTTTCAAGGATTGGTTGAAATTGATAATTTGTGAGTAATTCACATCCTCTTACTGTTCATCAATTTTGTCAATAAGTATACTATATTTCATAGACAATTGGATCACAATGAAATTATCTGTATTGAAGCAGAAGCCATCAATGGTCTTAATCGTTTGGAAATCGTGTATGTTTTCAATAAAAAATAAAAAAAGAGAACACATCGTAGTGATGCATCGTAGAATCCAAATCGCATACATGTTGCTCGCTTATTGTTTCACGCTAAAAAATCATACACACACACACACACACATACACACATACCAAAAAACCGTCATTGCTTTTAATGTCAGAAGGAGTAAAAATATTTTGATAGAAAACAATCTAGAAAAGAGCATGTTATTGATGGTGATAGATGTGTTCAATGCATGTCTACTATTTTTAGTACAGTCAACTACAACAATTTGACAACATTACCATTGTTGCCTTTTGCACGATTACTTGATTTGAGAGTGTTGTAAGTATAATCACCATTTAGTTGTAGAATAATGCACGCATACACACTTAAGACATTCGTTTTGCTAAAATGACCACATATATCACCCTAAAATTGAATAATACATATCATCAACGTAACTGACTATACTGATAAATAAGAAAGATGTCAGCAGTTACAATATCTCTTTCTTTATACGATTTTGTAAGAGAAATTTTCATTACTATTAATAATGAAAAACATCAAATGTTTCATTGACATTTTATCGAATTTAGGAGATTGCATGATAATCCATTTATTTGTGATTGTCGTTTATTGTGGTTAGCAAAATATTTAAAATTACATCCGTATCTTGGTTTAAATGCTCGATGTCAACAACCGGATACGTTAAACTATAAAGATATAACATCTCTTGTTGAAGAAGAAAAACAATGTAGTAGTATGGGTAAATATCGTTAGATAATCTTTTTAATTAGAAATAAATTTTTTTTAATTTTTTTTATCTAGATGCTGATGATATTGAATATACATGTAATGTTCCAATTTGTCCGTATCCATGTTCATGTTTCAATGGTGTTGTCGATTGTAAAGATAAAGAATTAAATGAAATTCCAAGAAACATTCCAGATACGACAATTGAATTGTATGTAAAATAATGATTAATATTTATTATAAATTTATTAAAAATATTTATTTATTTTTTCTTCTTCAAGACGATTGGAAAAGAATAGAATTATTGAAATACCACCAAAAGTATTTAGTCATTTGAAAAAATTACGACGATTGTAAGTGAGAATAATATGATATAATATACATGTTGTTAAACTTTTAAAATTTGATTATTTTTAGAGATTTAAGCAATAATATGATATCATCTGTTTATCCAGATTCATTTACGGGATTAAAATCATTGAATTCTCTGTACGTATAATAAATTTTATAAATGAGAGTAAAGAATTAAAAAAGATTAAAACTTCCATAAAATGGCGATACATTTTTTTAATAAATTCTTTAAACTAATACTATATTTTTAGTATTCTCTATCGAAACAATCTAAAAATGTTGCCCTCTCGAGCATTCAGTGATTTAAATAGTTTACAGTTGTTGTGAGTAAAAAAAAAATGAATGACACGTGCGCATGTAGTATGGTGAAATTTTATTAAAAAAAAGTAAATTATAATCAGAGATGAGCGAGTACATAGGTTTTCGAGCATGAGTACAAACAAATTTTACTTGATTAGTACTTGAACGCTATTAATCGATCAGAGGCTTCTATGAAAAATTCCATAATTCCTCGGAGAGGAAGAGGAGGAGGGATTCTGTTTTGTACGAGATTTTCATTGCAGGATTTTAAAAATCTCTTTTCGGTAAAATTCTCATATGCAGGACATATTCAGCGTCTTTTTCTTGTGCCAAGGCGCATACTGGATGAGAACTACTGATTTTCTGGAATTCTTGTCACATCGATGATTCATTTTCGTCTCAAAAATGGTTGCCTGTTAATTTTCTCGATCTTTACTTGAACAAAATGATGAAATGAAAAATGCTGGAGTTTAGTTAAGAAAGAAGAAAAAAAAGTGTTGCAAGTGACAAAGAATCTCGGGATTCTTTACTAGAATTTCGATCTAACATTAGGAACATTTCACGAAACTAATCGTTTTATCTTTCCCACCTGAAGTTTTAAATAGAAACAAAGAGTTGTAAATAGTTTTTCAAATAATCTTTCATGTCTATTTTTCTTCTTTTTTTATTATCAAAAATTTGTTTACAAAAAATATAGTTAGGAATTTTGAGATCAAATATTCGAATACTTTACAACAAAAAAAAAACAAAAAAAAACACGAGTAGAAGTAAAGAGTACTCAAGTGTATCTTGTACTCATCCATCTCTGATTCTAATAAAGAATTTATATAACTGCGGTGATGGTTTTTGTATTTTTTTAATATTAAACATAAATTAAGCACGAACTCTAGTATATTATTCTAGACTTGTTCTACACAGAGAAATGCATGTTTTGTCATTGATAATTGTTTTAATATTTTAAAAATATCAAACACATTATTTTTGACTATCACGATATATTAAAAATATATATCTTTCAACATGAATATTCAAACCTTATACACCTGTTAATAAAATAAATATTTAAAATTCGCCAAATCGCATGATATCTATTCACATTTATCCTATTGCATGTATCAAGCTTGGATTTTTAGGCATTTATATAACAATCAACTAATGTATTTACCTCGTGGCATTTTCAATCAACTTTCGCATTTACAATTATTGTAAGTAAATGCACATCAGCACAAATTAATATCGGCATTTTTGTTTTTATTTTACATTTTTTTTTATTTTTATACTAATTTCTATTATTATATTTTTTACAGTATTATTTTTCATAATATATTTAATATATTTTATAGATTATTAAATGCAAATAAAATAACGTGTGTACGTGGAGATGCATTAGAAGGATTAGAAAAATTGAGTCTACTGTATGTATAATTAATTTATTTCTAATATTTTATTTTATTTTAATATGTTCTATTTAATTGTTAGATCTTTGTATGACAATCAATTAAAAACATTGGCAAATGAAACATTTACACCATTGAAAAGTATTCAAACATTGTAAATAAAAATTAAACAAAAATAAATTCTTAAAATAATTCATTTTTTTTGTCTATATTTAGACATTTGGCTCGTAATCCATTTATATGTGATTGTCATTTGAGATGGTTAAATGCCTATTTAAGAGATAAACAAATTGAAACAAGTGGTGTAAGATGTGCAGCACCACGACGAATGGTCAAACGAAAATTTGGTGTTTTAAGTGATAGAAAATTTCGTTGTCGAAGTATGAATTAAAATCATTATTTATTTATTTTTTGTTCTTCTATCTATTCTATACATAAACAACTTCGTATATCTCTTGAATAGATCGAGCAGAATATGAATTAACAGCACATAGTGCTCAATGTGGATTAAGATGTCCAAAATTTTGTCAATGTAATGGTACAACAGTAACATGTCGTGGACAACAATTACAAGAAATTCCAAATGATATACCAATTTTTACAACAGAATTGTATGAAAAATATTTTTAAATTTAAAAAGTTTCATTTCTTATTTCTTTTATTATTCCAATGAAATCTATTTTTAGACATTTACAAGATAATCAAATAAAACGTGTACCACGTGATGGAAGTTTTCGACGTCTAAGAAGTTTACGAAAACTGTATGTTAAAAATAATTATATTTTTAAATAGAATATACCATTTTAAATACATACTCATTTTTATTATCTCTAGTGATTTGAGAAATAATCGTTTAGAAGAAATTGATGATGATGCATTTGATGGTGCTTCTGCTTTAAACGAATTGTATGTGATTTATCTTCATATCTATTAACATTAACATTGTGAAAAAATATTTTCATTACTGATTTCTTTTTTTTAGATTTTTAACGGAAAATAATATTCAAACAATTACACCACAGACATTTAATGGTTTAAAAAATATAAAAACATTGTAAGTTAGAAATATTACAAAATAAAATTCATTTTTGTTTTTTTTTGTGTGTTTTTTCTATTGATACGTTTTTATTTAGAATGTTACGCACAAATAAATTAACGTATATTAAAAATGATACATTTTTGGATATGGACGCATTGAAAACGTTATCATTACACGATAATCGAATTAAATGTATTCAACCGGGCTCATTTGATCGTCTAAGATCATTGGCAGCATTGTACGTTAACCTATTTATTGTCTACGTTGTTTGTTATTGTTGTTTTTATTTCAATTGAATCTTAACTTTATATTAATTTTCTAGAGATTTATTATCAAATCCATTTGTTTGTAATTGTCATATGAAATGGCTCAAAGATTGGTTGAAACAAAGTAAAATTGTTACTGGTTATCCAAAGTAAATTAAAACTATGAAAATTTTGTCTACAATATGTTTTTCTTCTATATTCTTCTCTGTTGTAGATGTATGTCTCCGACAAAATTACGTAATATTCCTATTGTTAATTTAACTGATGATGATTTTGTTTGTGATCGTATGTATTTCAAATGATGATAAAAAGAATTTTAAACAATATAAAATCTTTATAATTTATTTTTCTTTTATCTTTAGCAACTGAAGTTGATGAATGCGATGTTAGCTATCCTACTCATTGTCCAAAAAATTGTTCATGTTATAATCATGTTGTTCGATGTAGTCATGCACAATTAACAAAAGTACCATTTATTGATATGCCAGTTGATACAGAAGAATTGTAAAATATTGTTACCGATATTATTTATTATTTAAAAATTAAAAAATATCATCATTTTGTATCTTTTATGTTTAGATATTTGGATGCAAATGATATTCAAGATATTCCATCTGGAATTGGTCGTTTAACCTATTTAGTACGAATGTAAGATAAAAGAAAAGAAAAAAATGTGAATGTATTTAATTTAACCTTATTTAAAATTTGATTATTTTTAGTGATCTAAGCTACAATAAATTACGATCAATACCGGATAAAATATTTGAAAATTTAACGAGACTTGAAACATTGTGAGTAGAGTATATTATCATTGATAATTATCAATAATATCTTCTTCTCTTTTTTTATAGAATTTTAAGTTATAATAAAATTAAATGTATCGAAGCATCATCATTTAAAGGATTAAAAAGTCTTAGAATATTGTAAGTTTCTATTAACATGGTGAAAGTATAGATATTTTTCTCCATTAATATTTTATATAGATCACTTCATGGAAATGATATATCAACAATACCGGAAGGTTCATTCAATGACTTACAAGCCTTATCTCATGTGTAAGTTTAAAATATCGAATCAAAGAAATAGAAATGAATTTTTTGTTTTTATTTTTGTTTAAAAAATAATAGTGCTCTAGGAGTTAATCCATTATATTGTGATTGTAATTTGGGATGGTTATCATCTTGGATTAAAACTGATTATGTTGAACCTGGTAAATGATTATTAATCAATTGAATATTATTGTTTCAAGATGAATATCGATTTTTAGGTATTGCAAGATGTGCTGGTCCTCCACAAATGGCCAATAAACTTTTACTAACATCTCCTATATTCTTTTTTCAATGTTATAGTAAGTTTGTCAATTTGTTTATCTTATAGAATATAATATCAAGATATATAATTCTTTTGTGATAGACGACAGTGAATCAAATCGATATAAACAAAAATGTGATCCATGTCTAAATGATCCGTGTTTAAATAACGGTACATGTAGTACAGTGTCATTTGAACAATATCAGTGTTATTGTATGTCCGCTTATCATGGTGAACGATGTGAAATGGTTATTGATGCATGCTTTGATAATCCATGTAAAAATAATGGACGTTGTGAAGCATTAACAGATGGACGCTTTCGGTCAGCAAAGACTACATATATATATGCTATATATTTCTATTTTTTGTTTTATTTTTCATTTATAGATGTCATTGTGTGACAGGTTTCACAGGTTATCGATGTGACATAAATATCAATGACTGTTTTCAACATCGATGTGTAAATAATGCCACTTGTATGGATAAAATAAATGATTATGATTGTTTATGTCCGCCAATGTTTACAGGTATAATGAGAAACACAAAAAAAAAACCTAAACTAACATGGTTTTAACCTTGTATTTCATCTAGGACGATATTGTGAAAAAAAATTGAATTGGTGTGATACAAATTTGAATCCGTGTTTAAATAATGGTCGTTGTGTACGTTTGACAAATGGTAGTTATAAGTAAGAGATAGATATATATTCTGTGGAATAATGATAGAATAGTCATTTGATTATTCTTCTTTTAGTTGTATGTGTCAACCAGGTTTCAAAGGACAAAATTGTTCTGTAAATTTTGATGATTGTCAATCACATCATTGTCAATTTGGAATATGCGTTGATAAACTCAATGGATATGTTTGCCAATGTGATGTAGGATTCACCGGTAAAATTTAATAAAAATAATTATATAAAAAGTTTTATTTAAAATTTCTATTTGAATTTAAGGCAAATTTTGTGAAATACCACCTATTATTGCACCATATCAACAGAGTTCAGAAGCACAACGTTGTTCAACTGATTTTTGCTTAAATAATGGTGCATGTTATGAGAGAAATGGATCGATTAAATGCAAATGTCTAAATGGTATTGTATATAAATAAATTTTTCTATTGTTTATAGTATAATATGATTAATTCAATTTTTTAGGATTTATTGGTGATCGTTGTGATATATTGAAAAGTATTACGTTAAATACAAATGATTCTTATGTTAAATTACAAAAATTAAATGTTTATCCAAGATCAAATATTACTATTGTATTTAGTACAACAAATAGTACCGGTGTATTAGTGTATTTTGGAAATATTGGACATATGGTAGCCGAACTATTTATGGGAAGAGTAAGAGTTAGCTACGATGTTGGAAATTCACCGGGATCAGTTATGTTTAGTTATGACACTGTCAATGATGGTTAGTTTATGAGAAACTATAATATACAATTTTAACAATGTGTAAGAAATAAATTTCATTTTAGGTAAAATTCATGAACTACAATTGATATCAACAGGACAAAATTTTAGTTTGACAGTTGATCGAGGTTATACGCGTCACATATTTAATCGTGGACAACGAAAATATTTAAACATAACTGAAAGTTTGTATGTTGGTGGTTTGCCAAATGAATTAACAAATCGTGCATTGAGTCTATGGCATATTCGAGAGGCAACATCATTTCAAGGTAAGTAGTATAGATCGATCTATCAATAGTCATTTTAAAATTTTGTATTATTTTTTAAGGTTGTATTCACGGTTTATATATCAATAGTGATGCAGTTAATTTTCAAAATGTTGATTATCGTCATAAAATATTACCAGGATGTAATGATAATGATCTGATGAATAAGACATGTTCACAAACAACTTGTCAACATGGCCAATGTCTACTAGATGGATTATCGTATAGATGTGTATGTCATGAAGATTACAGAGGCATTACATGTAGTGAAGGTATTTTAATATTTATTGAATAATGACAACATATATTTTATCTTCTTTTTTATTTAGCTGTTCCAGCACCCTTGTCATGTGGTTTAGCGATTGAAACTGCCTATTACATTGATCCATTAACGAAATGTCAAAGTAATCGACGTTTAAGATTGACTAAATGTATCGGGACATGTTCAACAACACGCCCGCCATCTTTAACTACAAAACAATTTATAACAGATAATAATATCTTAAACTCCACATCTACATGTTGTACTCCTGTTGATTCTAAACGACGTTTTTTTCGAATGACATGTTCGAGTGGTTTCACCTATAAACAATCATTAGACTTTTTTAAAGAATGCATATGTTCATCTTCTTCTTGCAGGTGAGACAGACATTTAAAACAGTTTTATCTTCGTCTATCTCTTATAACAGTAGAAGACTCTCAGGGGAATTAAAATTTTGAAGTCTACAAAATCTAGCTCATTGCGCAATCTTTTTCAATTGGTTTTAAATCTCATGTTTATTACCTCAGAAAAATTCGGGCATTCTGTTTTTACCATGTATTTGCTTTGTTTTAAGTAAAAAAACTATTATTTTTGTACGATAAACATACACACACACACACACATACACACACACACATCATGTTCTGTAAATTTGTTTCTTTTTTTTGTTTAACTGTGCCTTCCTCTATATACTTGTTAGTTTTTCACATACACACTGTTGTATGTACAGTTGCAGATAATAAATAAAAATATGTTAATGAAATTTTTATGCTGTTGCTCAAGAAAATTTTATTTTATTATATTACACCAAAAGAGTCATATTACTACGATTGCACTGTATTAAGAGTGATAAATAAATAACGAGTAAGAAATAGTCGTAATCATTCTAAATAAGTTTTGGTCCATGAACAAAACAAAATCTGAGGATGGGTCCCCCTTCTCTGGAATAATTAGTATCGCATCGACGCGGCTTCCGAGATTCATTGACGGCGTTTCTTCAAAGATAATCGAGTACTGTAAGAAAATAAAAAGTCAATTTCAGTCTTTCGGAAAGTAAGAAAATCAATTTAATCTCTTCGAGTTTCCATTGATACGATTGATTCTAGATGTCGTTCTTTGTCATTTCTTCATTCACTGTAGCCAATACCCTATTGACATCTTTGAGTTTCATAAGAACATGACTGTCGCTAGCTGTATTTGTGTGAAGTATACGTACGCGCTATTTCCTTACTTCGCATGAGCGAATAATTCGTTTACATGACTTAATACTGGAAGTGTAGAGTATGAAAGTCTAATTTCAGTCTTATCTTAAATAGATTTCTATGGCACAAAGATGAGATTCTGAACTTGCACGAACTTTTTCTCTTTCAGTCTGAAGTTGGTGGAAACTTAGACGTTAGTATCTTTACTTCTAACATTTTGAAAGTTAAAAACGAGGTTTGGAGATACCGGTTTTTATGATTTTCTCACGTGTGACAGAGTTCATCATTTCAGATTCGGTGGAATGGAAGCATTTTCCTGTTTATTCCATGTGATTTGCAATATATATAAATAATAAATAAATAATAGTTAGTTGTTATATAAACAAGTAAAGTTATACATTAATTGTATAAAAAGTTGTATAATATAATAAAATGAGTTAGTATTTTAGTTTATTATAGATGGCAACAATAACGATGTTATTCTGAATAGCATTTTTGGGAACCAATGTATACCATTTTGGATAGAATCTGCGTGAAAAATAGTATTCTGTGTTAGAAAATACCACCAGCGCATGGGAGCGAGAACAGAGTGAGCTAACTGATGGCTGTTTATTGTCGCATAACATGATGCAGCAACATCATTGACAATTATTGTTCCGGATTGTGTTAACGGTGCTGCGTAGCCTTGTTTCCATACATCGGTAATATTAACGATTGTTTCAACTGTTAACCGTTTATCAGATGTCATAACATATATTTCCATGCCCGGTTGAAGATTTTTCGCCATCAGATAGCCATCAGCTTTTGTAGGAATTAGATGAGTTGAAGATAATGATAATTGTCGACCATTAGTGGTTGCCAGTGATTTAAATAAACCTAAAATATGAGTTTAATTTTTTGAACCAATCTGAGCAAAAAACGTACAAGATCAACAAGCTAAACATATGTTGTTTCTATTTACCATATTTGTCTGGTTCACTATCAAGCATACCAATGATTTCACTTGTAATTATATTCTGACTTTTATTATCAAACGCATAAACAAGATCGCCTTGTTTCAGTTGATTAATTAATTTTTCTTGACCATTTGTTAATAAAACTTTACCATCAGCTGAAAAACATTTTTGTTCGCCAGTCTGTAATTCTTTTAGCCAACAGTTCTTAGATAAGGGTTGTCCTTTGCCTGGACAACAATTAACTGTCAAGTAAGATATTTGATTTAGAGCACCCGCCGTAATCTGCCAACAAGCGCATGTTTAGTTAGGTTTATTGGAATGTAATCATAGCGAATTTAGTATAAACATCAAAATCAAGACATTTTTTCTTTTACCTGCTCTGCAACACATTCTTTTATGTGGGGTTTCAGGCATGAAGCTATGCCATTTGCCGTATCGCATAATGCTGTCAAATCTTGAAAAGAAAAGTGAAAATCGCATAAAAGTAATAATAGGTTTGGAGATCTCGTTCTAGTGTAGTTTACCTTTTGTGAAAAGTGCTTCGAAGGCTGAAGCTATATTGGACAGACAACCGATGACGGCTTTTGGATTATCTTCCAACTGACAGACACAATGGACCGTAGATGCAGCCAATAACAAAACTAGCACACTTTTCAACATCTCCAATAAAAAAAAAAAGCATTACGTAAAGTTAAAACGGTAGTTATTGATAATATCTTCTCCAGTTTGTCATATCTATTGCTGTAATTTTCAAAAACAAAATAATCATACCACCAATATTAATATACTTCAAATGTTTCCAATCTTCGAAGAAAAAAAGGGCTTCTGAAGGTGCCCAAATAACAACAAACGTCTCACATTACCGATTTGTTTTTCTTTTAAAAAAAATTAATTCACTAAAATGCTACTCTGGATCATTTTTCAATTGACAGAAAAAGCAATGACGTAAAATCTATTTGTGCATCAGACGTTATACTCATATCGACTATCAACTTGACTGCCAAGTGAAAAATGATCATGCTATAATTGTGACTAATTTGCAAATAAGATGTGGATGTTAAATTGAAAGAGCTCCCATCGAAGACACCCTGTATACGTTTGAAAATCTATTAATCATATTCCACCTTTTGTAACACTCAAGAACGTGTTTTACACTACTATCCATTCCAAAATAGAATGGCCACGACTGCTTCTTGAGTAACTTCTGAACAGAAAGAGCCAGAGGATTTCGATTTTCAGTATCAGACAGAGGAAAATCAGGAACATAAGAGCGATCTTCGATGATTCGAACAAAATTCAACTTATTTTTTCGGAGTACGAGGGGACGGAGCTCCTATATTTCCACTCAAAAGGTACATCATGATGGACCTTTCGCAAAAATCCGATTTGTTCCCAGAATCATGTTCCAAATCGTCCTCTATCTAATACTGACCATCGAAGCTCTCTAGCTCTTTCTGTTCAAAAGTTATTCAAGAAACATCCGCAGCCATTCTATTTCGAAATGGATAGTAGTATGTTTTGGTAATCATAGTGTATATTAAATTACAAATCAATACCGGTTTATCGGGAATCGCTGTGGACGAAAAGTTTTCGACCACCTATGAGATGAGCTGAATGGAGAAAATATTAAAAAAGCATTATAATCGTGCCCGAAATTATTACAGTCATTTACGTTATTTTAGCGGCAACATCTATCACGAATAAAATTGCGTTATGGAAGAAGTGCGACATTAGTGAGTGAATGTATGTATTCTATTGTGAAAGTACATATTTATTAGAGAAAGGACGCATTCGATATGCAATCGTTTATATTCACTATTGAATTTATAAATTTTCTCATATAGATGTATCCAATCTGTAGTGAACTTAGAGAGAGTATGAAATAACCTTTAATCTTAATGCAACATTCAGTGCATTTCCTCTCTTGTAAAGCTGTTTAAATAATATTTCAATCACTTTGATGAATGTAAATATCTCTAGAACACCGTTATAAACGAAGTTTAACAATCAAATAGCAAATCTCTTTTAATTTTTGCCGACAGTTCTGTTAATTTAAGAGTATTAAGAAACCTACTTTATGTCTTATTCTCATTTTTCTATCATAATACTGATGAGCAGTTCGAGGCTTCATGATTGAGACCACCTTTTTTTAATGATTATTAATTAGATTTAAAAAGTGGTCTCAATATGGAATGCATATATTCTCTCGTTTCTTATACAAATAAAAGTATAAATGATTCTAATTTTGAAGATGATGATGATGAGTATGAACCTAAAATATAACTCTTCTGTCTGTTGTGTCCTATTGTAATATTGTCATCACAAGGTGATTTCTGACCAAAACCGGACCTAATGGCGTTCAGGTTTTAGTTTTATCTAACATTTTAAAATTTTTCTGAATGAACCATTCGAGAGAGCTCATACTTGAGAGTGGTACTTAGGAAAAATTTTCAAGGTCATACTGTTGACCTAACTGAATAGGACGGCATCAAAACTTCGCAGAAGTGAATAAAAAACATTTCTCCATATATTTTTATTTTTGCTGTAAGACGGTCGAAATATAATAAAATACCTACGTATTTATAACCAAAATGTAACTCAGATATTGCTCCTTCTCATGGCGAAAGAATTAGTTTAGTAGCTTTTGACATACTTGACTTATAGTTCGAACAAGGTACTGAGATGCTCGACAATCCTCAACTTGGAGAGTTGAAGCCTGAGCTTCTCTAGAACGATTCGTCAATTTTTACTCAAAATTGTTTCCAAAGACATTTCACACAATACTATCAATCCTAAAAAAGTTAAAGCCTACATATTAAAAGAGATGAGCGATGAGATCCAGGTATTTCAAAATATCTACCAATTAAGAAAACGTCACGCAAAATTTTTTGATAAACTCAGGCGTGGCCCAGTCTTCGGTCTCTCACTCCGCCGAACCTTTTCCTGGGAAGATTTGTTTAAAACCCATGTGCATCCATAACAACTTCAATTATATTTCTGATGATGTTTTTACAATAATGTTATAAATCCAGTAATGCAACATTCTTTTATAATCGTCTTGTAATACGTGGTAGGAGCTGCGTGGAGTTAGACATAGATAAATTCTTTACAGACTGAACGGTGCCAATTATGAGCGTACCTGTATCCGAAACTCAAAATAAGTTTATTTTTCTTTGTGTAAATCTAATCATTCATATCTAACAATTAATGATCGCACTCGTTCCAGTTGTAGAATCAATGTTTCTTGAATTAAATAACATATTATTTTTGCATAATATTCATCTTTTTTGTTTAATAATAAATGGATTAAATTCACTCATTTTTTCAATGTCATTTAGCAGCGATAAAACAAATGTTTTAGCTGGACAAATTCTTTTCTTATTATTTGATGTACAACAACCGAATCAATGATGATGCAGCTACTGAAGAATGTCAAAGAAAAGTCAATTCCTCCATCTCCTACATTTTCGGTGGCAACAAATGACATTTACTTTCGTCACAGCAGTGCTCATCTGACGATGACGAGGTCACCAACAACTGAATCACTGATAATGCAGCTACGAAAGAATGCCAAAGACTAGGCAATTCCTCCATCTCTTAGATGTTCCGTGGCAACAAATGATATTTACTTTCGAAGATGGAGGAATTGTCTGGTGGTTGGTATTCTTCAGTAGCTGCATCTCATTGATTCAGTTGTTGGTGACCGCGTCATCGTCAGATGAGCATTGCTGTGATGAAAGTGAAATGTCATCAGGTGCCACAGAACAACTGGAAGATAGATGGATGTACATTTCCTCATCAGTACATTTCCTTCCGTGTAACAGATTGCTGTTAAAATAATATTTCAATCGATTTCATGAACGTAAACATCTCTAGAACACCGTTATAAACGAAGTTTAACAATCAAATAACAAATCGCTTTTAGTTTTGCCAACGGCTCTATTAGTATTAGGAAACCTACTTTATGTCTTATCCTCATTTTTCTATCATACTACTAATGAGATGATTTTACCGAGCAAAGGACAGTAATGGATCAAGAGTTTTTTAATCAATATTTTCACCTTCCTCGATCATTTCAACTCGTGCTATCTGAATTTCAAAAGTTGAATACAGTTTCCCAGAAGTCCATACATTTCTACACGCATTTTTCCAGTATTAGAACTAGATTTTACATTGGCATTTTCTGAAATAGTTGAAAACGTCTAGGGTAGGAGCTGCGTGGGGTAGGACATAGGTAAATTCTTTACATACTGATTGGTACCAATTATGATCTTACCTGTATCCTAATACAAACTCAAAATAAGTTTATTTTACCTTGGTTGGTTATCAGAATTTTTTGTAATACAAGATTTTCTCGTGCTTTTCACCCCTGATTCGTAAAACTCTATATTGAAAAGAAGAAAAGAAACTGTGAAAATATAACCATGACCGTCCATACGTTCCTACACGCAGCGTTTTTCCCGTATTAGAGCTAGATTACATTGGCATTTTCTGAAATAGTTGAAAATTTCTCAGCAATCAACTAACAGCGAAGCCGTTGAAGTAACTATAAACGATTTTCATGAACCAGCTTTTTTAGCCCGGCTTGAATCTGAAACTATATTATGGAATTTGTGAAACTTAGCTTTTAAGTAGAGTAGAAAATTCTTATATACACAAACGTTGGCAGAGTAATTTATAAGAAGATTCATTTCGTTTATCTGCTACACGTCACATACTTTTGAAAGTCTTTGTTATGAAATTTTTTACCCTCCTATAAGATCTTATATCAAGAATCAGTTTCTATGTTTCTTACAGAATCTTACTCAATCAGACGAAATCATGCAAGAATCTTATAAGATCTTACAATAAGATTTTGATTTACCTACTTCCAAAATCTATTTTTCTATTAACTATATTGAAAATCAAATGAGAAAAACGTTTGCCTAGTTGAAAACTAAAGAAGATTGCGCATTGAATATAGAATGAAAAATTAAAAATATTGACATAAAAGTGCATTCTGAAAAACTACAAAAGCTTTTCGATTTCAAAACGTGCTATCCGGAAAAATTATCTTTTCCTTTGAATCGCAAAGCTCTTTCAGAAAATTCTCCTATAAAAACAGTTTTTCCAAACGAATATGGAAAATCACTTATTCATGATTTAGAAAAAAGTTATGGACAATCGTTGATCGAATAAATCAAAAACCATGAAAATTAACGAAGAATATTTTTTCTTTTTTTGGAAAAAGTCTAGAAAAGAAAAGATGTTGAACTTTTACAGTTTTTAGAATTAATTAATTAGAAAAAATGAAAAAAAAAATGTTCAAATTAAAAGAAATATTGAATTAAAAACTGAGGAAATTCATAGTGAACTAATGAAGATTGATATTATTACACAATCCCTCGATATAAAATCATTAAAAACTGAATTAAATGAGAGTTTAAAACTGATTTATTAAAAATAAAATGGGAACAAATGCCGTAGAGAATGAGAAAATAGAAAAACAGAGCTGGAAGATTTTATTAAGGAGAAAGAAAATCGAATCAAATTGTTAAAGTGGTGCTTCAAGCAAGACATTAGAACATCAAATATTATATAATCAATTTGTAAAATAAATAATATTGCTATTTTAGGGTATGAAAAAATAGATGAGAAGATTTTGGATTCTAAGCTATGAC